CCCCCCTTTTTCGAGGCTTCTTCTTGTTTGCTAGGCAAGAGAAGTCTTCTTGGGGTAACCGGAACCCGACCGGCTGGCGGCGAGTACAACCACCTTTTTTCCAACAATCTTCTGTGCGTGTGTGCGGGTACACCACTTCCGCCACGCATTGCCAGAAGTGTCGAGTTCGATAGACAGTGCATTGTTTCTTGGCCCACCCACCGTTTTTCTTTTTCTCTTCCGGAGTACGGAAACAGAAAAACCGTGGGTAGGCCAAGAAACGATGCACTGTCTATCGAACTCGAAACGGCGGACAAAAGAGACCGCGATCGGTCGCGTGGACCAACCACCCGCACTAAGCCGAAAGTCACCTTTGCTAATAGTACCAAACCGGACACACGTGAGAAAGTCGAGTGCGATTTTATCGGGTGCAAGTTTAGCAACCTATGATTCACGCACCCGCGATCTGAGTGCAAAAATGAAGAGAGAGCGAAGCAGGAGGGGTACAAAGTTACTAAAAAGTAGGGTCGCCCGAGTAGGCAGCATCCCTCGGCCAACGTGGGACACCAATCATGTGGTTCTTTCAAACCAGTACGTAAAACCTGGGATAGGCTGCAAAGCAAGAATAAGCAGAAGAGAGCCAAACTAGACGAGAGGGATACAAAACACTGCAGAAATGGTGTACGACCTCTGGGGGAAACAAAAGGAAAAGCAGGCAGAAAGGAGTGCTGTAAAACAGTTGAAGTACCTGAATCACGAGAAAATTCTTGCGAAGTTTGTAGCAGCAAGCAAACGCGGGAACTTCCCACGTCGAGTACTGGCACAACTGATGCAGTAGACTCTTTAGATCCAGCAGCAAGGGATAGCACCCAAGTGAAGCAAGTAGCAGCAAGTTTAGCGCCGCAAGCTTTGCACGTAGCTACCGTAGCTGGGGACTACAGGTCCAAACATAGGTCGAACCTAATGAGGACTGATGATAATGAAGAATTTCATGCTTTTTACATGTCTGCACTCGCTGGATACCCCGTGTGTCCATCGGTGTTACGATCGACATCCAAGCGAGTACGTGTATCCGCCAGAATAAACAATGAGTCGGTTGATGAAATTACAATCGACACAGCGTGTGACATACCATGCATATCACACAAACTCATGAGAAGTCACAAAACGCTGAAAAACACGAAAATATTTCCATTACCCACAGGAGCAATCAATTTGCGCAGCGCTGATGGTTCGCCCCTGAAAATTAAAGGGTACACTCGATTCGAACTAACACTAGGAGAAATCACCTTACCTGTTGAAGCTCTAGTGCTACCGTCG